AGCAAAACCACAGAATAGCTTCTTTCACCAAGATAGTCTATATACCTCCTCTTTTCTTGTGACAGATTTTTACAGCCTACCTTATCTGCATTCAGAGCCAAGAAGGTGATGTGATCCAAATACCTGTTTCTTATCCATGCTGTGAGAAACTGGCAGTTCGACAGCAGTGTCTGAAGTTCCCTGGGTCAAGGCTACCAGGTTTCCAGGTGTAAAGTTACCTGCCATACAGCGCATGCACATTCCGACACTAGTCTCTTGGTATTAAAAAGCTACCTTTTGTCATTTACAGTCTAGAACAGCCTTGAGCAAACAGAAGTGCTTGTGGGCTCTGCACCTCCTTTTGAACATTACTGCTGTATAATGACTAGAACTAATAATTAGAAAGAATCATTCATTAATTTTGTAAAGTTTACTATAAAACTTCTGCTCTGAGCCAGCTCCCATGTTAGATTTTGGGGATGAAGATATGAAGAGACACTGTCCCTGCGTTTAGAGACTTTACAGACAAGTAAAGGAAATAAATGAAAACAGTTTTATGAATTTAACACTACTGTCATTTTAGAACGGCGAGGATTTATCATGCCTCTCTTCTCAAATTTGGGATTGCTAACTAGCATGGGAATAGTCACCCAGCACTGAGCTTCTAAGACCTTAACGTAGGGGGACACCATTCCATTATGTGTGACTTCCTCAGATGTGAAACCATGGCAGATACAAATAATAGTACTCATTTTTATTGCAAAGCACTTTACATATTACAAAGTACTTTTACATCCATTATCTAATTCAATTGCCAAAGTAACCCTATGAGGGATAAGGGGATTATTATCTCCTTTTATAGAAGAAATTAAGTGCTTAGAGAAGTGACTTGCCCTTATAAAACTAGTTAATTTGTAACAGAAACCTGGATTTTTTCTCAATTCAAAGTTCAATTTAATCATATCATGGTGCCCTTGTCACCCAAATTTTGAAGAAAATCCAAATGACTCATTTTCAGCTATAAGAAATGTCTAGAATAATGCCAGGGCATGTAAAATATATTAATATGTACACTTAATATAAAATATTTAGTTTTCCTTCAACCTGAAATAGAAAAATTATGCAAAAACAACACAGAGAACAATTTGTGAAGACTTAAAAAAATCATAAATGCCACATTTCTCCCACTTTAATCTTCCCACAATGTGCTCATATAACAAAAAATTCTGGTTTGCCAATAATTTATTTCACAAGTCTTCTATGATACAAAAACACATAGCAAAGTTAAAACATTTCCTACAAAGCCACTGTGCAGATTTTTCGATCAAACCTGAAAGGCTGAGGAAACTCTCCCAGAAACCACTCCACTGTCTGGGAACTTGTAACCCTGTTGCTTCATTTTCAAGTTCAAAGAGTGAGTGGACAATGCATTTATAGTATAAAAATTCAAGTTTTCCCAATCCTTAAAATACTGAGACCATTATTCAAGTAAAAAGGAAAAGCCATTAGAAAAGGCTCAAAAAGAAATTCATCCAGCAATAAAGCTTAAGGAAAACCCTTTACAAAATGGAATTTGGGAGTCAACAGATCCATGAAAAATTCAAATATCCTTTCTGGTATAAGACAGTTCTTTCATTAAAGTAGACCACTTGTCCTTTTGCAGCTGCTTTTCTGCTCTAAGAGGAAAAAAAAACATCTTCTCTGAAATCACTGTATAAAAACGTATAACTAATTTACAAATGTAACAATTAGTATTGTCTTATCTGAACATTTACTATGAAATAATTTCAACACAATTACCAAAAGCTTGTGCTTCCTCTGATATCAGTCACATACCATATATAGTTAAATGCACTGTCTTGCCAAAGCCCAAGGTAATTGAATCTAAAAATATACTTTTTTTTCATTCTGAACTAGCAAGATTGGTATTTAAACCAAACGTCATCAAATGTTGCACTAAGTATGCCAAGATGAAAAGGTTACTTTAATATGAACTGTCCAAATGTATCACATAGAAAATGCCCCTAGCCACTAAAGATTGACTGCTGACATCCAGGCTCACCCTGTTCTCCCCTAACATGCACACACACAAGAAAATAACAATTAAAAGGCAGTATAGACAATCAATGAATGTGAGAAAAGAACTGGTAACTGGAAGAAAACGTAGACTTTATACAGTCCAATGAAGACAGATAAACTGGAAAGACATCTGGTATTAAGCAAGTTTACCAGTGGGGAATGGGGGGATTTTTCTTTAAAATTAGTGTATAGAGTCTCTAGTTTTAGGCTGAGACGTTGACAGAGATTCTTATGTGAAAAAAGTAGTTCTAATAACATCTAAATTTGGTACCAGGATAAAAATGTAAAAATCTGTTAACAAAAGCTCTTATTAAAAGAGGTGTCTTTTGAGTCATTAAAAGATCAGCTTGACGAAATTACTCAGAGAAAGACAAATACCATATGACTTCACTCATATGAGGACTTTAAGAGACAAAACAGATGAACATAAGGGAAGGGAAGCAAAAATAATATAAAAACTGGGAGGGGGACAAAACAGAAGAGACTCATAAATATGGAGAACAAACTGAGGGTTACTGGAGGGGTTGTAGGAGGGGGGATGGGCTAAACAGGTAAGGGGCACTAAGGAATCTACGCCTGAAATCATTGTTGCACTATATGCTAACTAATTTGGATGTAAATTTAAAAAAAAATAAATTAAAAAATTAAAAAAAAAGATCAGCTTGATTAGCCACTTCCAGTGGTCTTTCCATAAAATTTCCATTAAGATCTTTCTCAAAGAGTTTCTCTTTCTCACAAGATGGAATGCTACTGCAGGAAAAAATTAAAAGGGTTCAGCATCCCCCAAAAGCAAAACTCCACCGATTTAACATCAGTTTTTATAAAAATTAATCTTTAAGATTCTCATCTTTGCTAAACTAAAACTCACAAGCAAACTGCAAATCTGAACAGGTTACTTTCTCCAACATGTATGAAGAAAAAGGAAACTTTGTTTTTCTTTAGATTTGTGGCATGTAAATAAAGGAGAAATATGCATAACCATTTCTCAAAATCCAAGAGAAAAGGTTTTTCAATTCAAATGGCAATTTAACAGAGCCACTGCTAATATAACTTGCAATTTCAACATGAGTTCTAAATACTGAAACAGCTTAGAATCAAGTTTTTTAGTACTAAATATAAAGAGCAAGCAAGCTTTTGGGAAGAATTCAGAATCTGAAATTTAAATGTTTATGTAATACTTATTCACTTAAAATAAAAAAGTTTAAAGTACAGCACACATTTGAAGTTAAAATCTAAGACCTAAAATCGTTAAGAATGCTGCCCTTTATATTAAAAGGGGTAGTAGGTTTTCTAATATCATGACAGAAAACCAAAGCCTATTTGCCTGTTTTATAAATATCTGCATCCTTTGTTGGATTCAAAACTCCACTTTACCCATTTCCCTTGGGTTTCTTCCATCTCACTGAATACCATTGTTGTATTCAGATTATAACATCTAGCCAAAGGCAGAGATCACATAAGCCCCCTGAAGACTTCCAAAACATTAAAACCAGTAGAAAAGCAGAGGAAATACTCTCATGCCTGGAGCTGCTGGGAAATCCTTCTCTCCTTTTAGAAAAATAAACTTCTTGTTCTAAAGATAATCACTTGAAGAACAAAACATCACCAGTACATACAATACACAGCACTTTCAATAATTCTACAGAATAAATAATAAAAATCCTATAGATTTTGCTAGTACTTTGGCTTTAAAAAAAAAAAGACTAAGTAAAGAACTGTTACATCAAAGGATTTTTTTGTCCAGAAAGAGAAGAGCAATAAAAGAGACTTAATCCGAATTTCTCCTTCTCGCATTCAAATGTGCATTTCTTAACACCAAAAAAATGCTTTTAAAAAGATTAGATGCTACTTTGTTGATTCCATTTAACCACAAAGAGAACATCTCAATCCCCTTCTATTTAAAAAAGGAACTAGGTAAATATACAGTATATTTTCTGACTCAGTTGCTTATTAGGACATCTTTTTCTCCCAGATATTCTGACATTTCAAAGTTTGTGGATTAAAAAAAAAAAGAAGACTAAAGATTCATTTCTATATATTTTCACCATTATAAAAATGGCAGCCATTAACCTATCATTTGTTTTTCAGCTTATTAAAATACACTTTGCTGTAAAGAGAAATCTAAATTCAAACGTTTTCAATACACACACACACAAAGGCATGGGCAAAAACACTACAGCGCAATCACTTTCCATGCACACATTTCTTTAGATCCCCATGAAGCATGCCACAGAAAGTAGCTCAATTTTTCCTAAATTGTATGAATTGACTGCCTTTTTGCTTCACTCATGGTGCACTGCAAAATTCTAAAATTAACGCTTAGGTGTTCATGTTATTCAACAATATGTATGGAGAATTCTCTCAAGAGAAGACCTAAAACATAAAACATTTGGCTTTCTAAATGACAGTGCTGAAGTCTGCAGTGTAGTTCTACTTTGGCATATATAAAGCAAAATTTAAATCCTGTTAATTCATCACTATTTTTTAATATTCCCCTTAAAAGAATTCAATTGCACATGAAGCCCAAACAGAAGGAGCCTAGAAAAGCGACAGGAAAATGACTTTTTAAAAATGCTGACGCTTTTCACACCCAGGTTCAGTCATGCCAGCTGAAGAGAGGTGTTAGATATGGTTTTATTTATTTTAAATCTTCAAAATGTCATCATTTCCATGACATTACAAAAACTGGAACCAAGAGCAATTTATCTTCATGATCCTGATTCTCCGATTCAAAGCACTTTTTAGAAAATAATTTCTGCAAACTTACAAGGTATGTTCAATGGATCATTTGTTTGCTACTGCTTAGAGTTGAATTATTTTGTCCTAGATCTCCTAGTAAGCTAGGGATACAAAGAGATAAAAAGGAAACACACACACACACACACACACACACACACACACACACACACACACACACACAGTGATCCAATATCTGAGTCACTTCAGATATGGCATCCGTTAAGGGGGTCTTTGCTCCTAACTGTGTAAGGGTCCTTAGCTATGGTCTGACTTGCACAAGAAGTACACATGGCCCCTGAGAGGCGCTTTAGTCCCCTTTGGAAGACACTGTTGGAGAGACTATAAATGACACAGTTACAGAAACTGTTACTAATAGCAAGCCAGGTGGTCAAGAAGGATGCGAAGCGGTTGCTGTGGCCAGTGGAGCTCTCCAATAAGAAGTAGATGATGTATGGCAACCAGAGGATGTAAAATACACTAGTAATTCGGAACAGGACCATGGCATAGCGCTTATCGGAACAGCTCTGCACCTCCCCAGTCTCCCCACTCTGGTTGCTGAAGCGGGCTTGCCTTTCGCTGATTTCCTTTGTGTGCTGTTGGCAGATGCGGAAGATGTTGAAATAGGTGAAGCACACAATGAGGGCTGCCGGGGCATATAACATCATCACGATGAACAGGGTGAAGTAGGGGTCGGTGTGCCAGGACTCTGCACACCACTGAAACACATCTCCATGATATCCAGGTTTGCCCCAGTGGAAAAAGGAAGGCAGGAAGACCAGGGTGGAATATAGCCAAATCAGGAAAATACACAGGCGTAGTCTCCAAGGTGTAACCAGAGTGTTATAGGTTAAAGGTTTAGTGATGGCAATATATCTATCGATGCTGATACAGGCCAGAGAGGCCATGGAGACACTCTTCAGAACTGATACTACAAAACCAAATACCTGGCAAGTCAAAGACTCCTCTACTGGGAGGGGGTAGTGGAGGAGTGATAAAGAAGGGACCAAGCAGCTTACCCCAACCAAGAGGTCAGCATATGCCATAGTCTGAATAAAATAACTTGTAGTATGGTGGTTCAACAAAGGTGCACAGTGAAATACAAAAATCACAATGATGTTGCCAGAAATAATCAATACGGTGAGAAAGACAATAATCAATACTTCCAAAAGGCAAAAATTGACAGTTTCCAAATAGCCAAATGTCAAGAGGCAAAAAGGGCGGCTGCTCTGATTACCATCCAAGGTAGAGTTCATCTTGAGCTCAGGAGTGATCTCTCACTTCATGCTGCCGCTTGGCTGCTGCCAACAGTTCAAAGGAGCAGCTGCTGTCATTGCGGTCAGCTCTGTGTGTCTGTAATAATGCCAGAGGAGCCTTAGTCCCCAAGCTCCTGATGCTGCTCTGGTGCATTGCCTGCAGTGTAATTCCCCTTTAAATCCTTCTTGGAATAGGGAGAACCAGCAGCAGTTGTCTGGCCAGTCCCAGATGTGGCCATAGTACCAGGTTTACCATACACATAGCGCCAGGGGAGTAAGGCAAACTCTGGGTACATTGTCTTCAGGCCAATGAGGGTAGGGGTTAGGGGCAGAAGAGAAGGGAGGAAGATTAGGAGCTTCAGCAAGAGTTGTAATGAGTCTCCTCTGAACAGCTGATAGAAGAAAAGGAGAGAGCATTTTACATTTTGCATCCAATGCCCTAATCAAAGAACCTGGCTAGCTCAGGCTAGTATCAACCCTCCCACTCCATCCCACCCCACCCGGTACAACCATTCATGGCTACTCTCAGCAGCACCCCACATAACTGGTCCTTACTTTACAGAGGAAGAGAAACAACAGCAAGTTTCATGATCAACATAAAACAAAATCAGTCACAAGCCAGATCAATCTAATCCCATTTCCTCTCATTTGAGCCTTTCGGGGGAGAAAAAGATTCTGCTTATGGCATTTCTGAAAATATCTTACTATAACTACCACTAATAGAATTAGCTCATTTTCTTCACTGATTCCAATGTAATTATTTCACCTCTTCAAAAACATTTCAACAGAATTTATCTGTCTAGCTCAATTTCAAAGTGTTACCTGTAATTCTGCATGCTGCAATCCAAACAAAAGCCACAAAACATCCTTAAGAGAAAGCCTTGCAGTGCAGGAATGTGCCTCAGCCCCGTTTACTGCAGAACTGAGACACAGAGGGAGGGGATAAAGGAGGAGGAGGAGGGGAAACGGGGAGAAGAGGGGGCTTGGGAAAAGGAAGAAGGGGGGAGGGGAAAGAAAACGCCTGTGTGCACACACCCTTCGGCATCTTTAGCAGCTCATTAGAATTCATCGCCAGAGAAGTGGTCCCTGATTTCCCGACTGCACATTGGGGGAATAACTTAATATGCCTGCAGTGCAGTGTTTGAAAGCTGTTTCCTCGTCTGTCTGGAATCCCCCTTTTAGTAGATGAGCAGAATTTAGACTCTGCTAGTAATGAGAAGGGGTTGTAACCTGGACAGAGTGTCAGCCAGGAATTAGATGGAAACACACTGCCAGAGGCGTAATGGTGAGAGGAAATTCCTATTTTCTTATAGCATTTTCCTCAGGAACAAAGAGCAATGTTAAAGAATGAAAGTGTGCTAACAGTGCGGGGCAACTGACAAATCAAAATTTAGCAGCACAAGAAGTTCTAGCTAGAAGGCTAAATATTTAGCATTTTCTCTCACAATTC